GCCCATAGAAGGGTCAGGGGGAGAGGTTGGGGGGGGGGGAGGAGGTGGACCCATAGAGCATCCATAGGACCCATAGAGCATCCATAGGGCCCATAGGGTACCCATAGAGTGTCCATAGGACCAAGGTGGGATGGGGAGGGAGAAGGTGGACCCATAGAGCATCCATAGGACCCATAGGGTATCCATAGGACACATAGGGTATCCATAGGACCCATAGAGCATCCATAGGACACGTAAAGTACCCATAGGACAAGGTGGGATGGGGAGGGAGAAGGTGGACCCATAGAGCATCCATAGGACCCATAGGGTATCCATAGGACCCATAAAGTGTCCATAGGACCAAGGTGGGATGGGGACGGAGAAGATGGAGCCATAGAGCACCCATATGACCCATGGAGCACCCATGGGCCCCATAGGGTATCCATAGGACCCATAGAGCACCCATAGGCCCCATAGAGCACCCATAGGCCCCATAGAGCACCCATAGAGCATCCGTAGAGCACCCATAGGCCCCATAGAGCACCCATAGACCCCGTAGAGCACCCATAGAGCACACATAGAGCATCCGTAGAGCACCCATAGGCCCCATAGAGCACCCATAGAGCACCCATAGAGCACCCATATGACCCATAGAGCACCCATGGGCCCCATAGAGCACCCATAGCCCCCATAGAGCACCCATAGGCCCCATAGAGCACCCATAGAGCATCCATAGAGCACCCATAGGACCCATAGAGCACCCATAGAGCACCCATAGAGCACCCATAGAGCATCCATAGAGCACCCATAGAGCACCCATAGCACCCATAGAGCACCCATAGAGCACCCATATGACCCATAGAGCACCCATGGGCCCCATAGAGCACCCATAGCCCCCATAGAGCACCCATAGGCCCCATAGAGCACCCATAGAGCACCCATAGAGCACCCATAGGCCCCATAGGGCACCCATAGGCCCCATAGAGCACCCATAGGCCCCATAGAGCACCCATAGTGTATCCAAAGGGGGGGACACACACACAGCACCCAAAGACAACCCCAACCCCACCCCTCTCCTCTCTCCCCAGCCCCCAAGTGCCCCCCAGGCACCCATTACTCCTCCTGCCTCCCCGGCTGCGCGCCCCCCCCGCAGGCCAGGAGCACCCCCGGGTGCTCCATGGGGCCCGAGGCGTCGGGGTCTGGGTCGGGGTCCGTGGGGAGCTGCCGCGCCGTGGGGCGGAGCCACCTGGTGACCTTCGACGGGGCGGCCGCCGCCATAGGGGACAACTGCAGCCAGGCCCTGGTGGTGGCGGCGCGGAGCTGCGGGGGCCGCGGGGAGCAAGGGGGCTTCGATGTCAGCATCAGGGAGCCCAGGGGAGCAGGAAGGAGCCTGGTGGTGACGGTGGAGAGGAGGAGATGGGAGATGAGGGGAGGGGACCGGGAGGTGGAGGTGAGGAGGGGGGGGGGGGTGGGGTGGGGTGGGGGTGGGGTGGGGATGGATGGAGATGATGGATGGGGATAGATGGGGATGGAGATCATGGATGGGGATGGATAGGGATGGAGATGATGGATGGGGATGGATGGGGATGGATGGGATGGGGATGGGATGGGGATGGAGATGATGGATGGGGAGGGAGATGGGGATGGAGATGGATGGGGAGGGACGGGATGGAGATGATGGATGGGGATGGGGATGGATGGGGATGGAGATGATGGATGGGGATGGAGATGGATGGAGAACATGGATGGGGATGGACAGGGATGGAGATGATGGATGGGGATGGAGATGGATGGGGATGGAGATGCGGATGGAGATGATGGATGGGGAGGGATGGGGATGCAGATGATGGATGGGGATGGAGATGGGTGGAGATGGATGAGGATGAATGGGAATGTGGATGGATGGGGATGGATGGGAATGGAGATGGGTGGAGATATGGATGGGGATGGAGAAGGATGAAGGCTGGAGAAGGATGGATGGGGGTGGATGGGGATGATGGATGGGGATGGAGATGGATGGAGATGGGGATGGAGACGGATGATGGGGATGGATGGGGATGGATGGAGATGGGGATGGATGGAGATGGGGATGGAGACAGATGATGGGGATGGATGGGGATGACGGATGGGGATGGATGGGGATGACGGATGGGGATGGACGAGCAGGCCATGACCCCCTTTGTCCCCATTACCCCCCGTTAGCTGGACGGAATCCCCGTCCCTCTCCCCTTCTGCCTCGAGGACCGCTCCACCTGCGTGACCCTGTCCCAGCAGCACCGCGGCACCGCCATGGTGCTCACCACCACCTCCGGCCTCACCGTCACCGCCGGCCCCGGCGCCGCCATGCTGACCATCACCGTGGCCTCCAACCACCGCAACCGCACCTGCGGCCTCTGCGGCAACTTCGACGGCCACCCCTCCAACGACCACCTCATGGCCACCGACACCGGGTGCCACCAACCATGCCCAGGTCCCCAGTGTCCCCCATGCCACCAGGCCCCCAAGAGAGCCTTTGTCCATGGGGAGCTCTGCGGTGTCCTCCGTGCCCCACAGGGCCCCTTTGGGAGCTGCCACCCCATGGTGAAGCCGGGGGTCTTCTATGACGTGTGCCTATGGGAGCTCTGTGAGGCTCCGGGGGTCAAGGAGGTCCTGCAGGAGGTGCTGAGGGCCTATGGAGATGCCTGCATCCAAGCTGGAGCCCGGGTGGAGGCCTGGAGCGTGCCGGATGCGTGCCGTGAGTTGGGGGACGTGGGGTGGGGTGGATGGGGGGCGTCAATGGGGGCTTTGTATGGGGCCATGGAGGGCATCTTGAGGTGGCCATGGAGGTCCATGGAGATCATCTTGAGGTGGCCATGGTCACCTATGGGTGAACGTCGAGGACATCGCTGTGGCCATCTAGGACACCCTTATGGGTCCATCTAGGGCATCCTTATGTGTCCATCTAGGACATCCTTATGGGTCCATCTAGGACATCCTTGTGTGTCCATCTAGGACATCCTTATGTGTCCATCTAGGACATCCTTATGGGTCCATCTAGGACATCCTTGTGTGTCCATCTAGGACATCCTTGTGTGTCCATCTAGGACATCCTTGTGTGTCCATCTAGGACATCCTTATGGGTCCATCTAGGACATCCCTATGTCCATCTAGGACACCCTTATGGGTCCATCTAGGACATCCTTATGGGTCCATCTAGGACATCCTTATGTGTCCATCTAGGACATCCCTATGTCCATCTAGGACACCCTTATGGGTCCATCTAGGACATCCTTATGGGTCCATCTAGGACATCCTTATGGGTCCATCTAGGACATCCTTATGTGTCCATCTAGGACATCCTTATGGGTCCATCTAGGACATCCTCGTGTGTCCATCTAGGACATCCTTGTGTGTCCATCTAGGACACCCTTATGGGTCCATCTAGGACATCCTTATGGGTCCATCTATGATGTTCTCCAGCCCTACCTGTCCATGATGGCCTTTGTGTGTCCTCCCCTATGACCCCTCCATGGCCATGGTGACCTCCATGATGATCTCCACGTGTCCATCATGGTTTCTCTCCATACTTCCATCATGTTCTCCACCTCTCCATCATGTCCCCCTTGTGTCACCCAACAGCCCCATGGTGCCCTGAGGACAACGGTGGTCCCCATAGGAAGCTGATGCCAAGGGACCTGGTCACAGGTGAGGTGGGGACATGGTTGGGGGGGGACACCATGGGGCTGGATGGAGATGGATGATGGATGGATGGAGCCAATGGAGATGGATGGAGCCAATGGGGATGGATGGATGGAGCCAATGGGGATGGATGGATGGAGCCAATGGAGATGGATGGATGGAGCCAATGGAGATGGATGGAACCAATGGAGATGGATGGAGCCAATGGAGATGGATGGATGGAGCCAATGGGGATGGATGGATGGAGCCAATGGGGATGGATGGAGCCAATGGAGATGGATGGATGGAGCCAATGGAGATGGATGGATGGAGCCAATGGAGATGGATGGAGCCAATGGAGATGGATGGATGGAGCCAATGGAGATGGATGGAGCCAATGGAGATGGATGGATGGAGCCAATGGAGATGGATGGATGGAGCCAATGGAGATGGATGGAGCCAATGGAGATGGATGGATGGAGCCAATGGAATGGATGGACCAATGGAGATGGATGGATGGAGCCAATGGAGATGGATGGATGGAGCCAATGGAGATGGATGGATGGAGCCAATGGAGATGGATGGATGGAGCCAATGGAGATGGGTGGATGGAGCCAATGGAGATGGATGGATGGAGCCAATGGAGATGGGTGGATGGAGCCAATGGAGATGCATGGAACCAATGGAGATGCATGTAGGACCCATGGAGGTCCTCATGGCCCCATATCCTCCTTCAGGTCTCCTCCCTGGAGCTCTCCCCCTACAAGGCCTCACCCAGACCCTGGCTGTCCCTGGGGCCGTGGTGGGGCAGGTCCTGGGCCTCCGACCCCTCCCAGTGCTCCCTTTGGTCCCATAGGATCCACGATGTCCACAAGGAGCACCCATGGGACGCCCATTGTGGGGGCTGGCACCTCCTGTGCCCATCCCACCACCACTGGGAAGGAATAAAAGCTTCTTGGTGGCACCTCCAGGGGGTTCGTGGTGTGGTTCATGGCTTGGCCCAGGGGGACAGCACCATGGGGCCACCAAACATCACCATGGGGTCACCAAACAGCACCATGGGGCAACCAAACAGCACCATGGGGTCATCTCCACCACCATGGGGTCATCTCCACCAGCATGGGGCCACCAAACATCACCATGGGGCCACCCAACCACCATCATGGGGCCACCCAACCATCATGGGGTCATCTCCACCACCATGGGGCCACCCAAACACCACCATGGGGTCACCCAACCACCACCATGGGGCCACCAAACATCACCATGGGGTCATCTCCACCACCATGGGGTCATCTCCACCCCCACGGGGCCACCATCCACCCCCATGGGACCACCTCCCCCCCTTCCAAAAGCACTCCATGGAGCAGTTGAATCCTTTATTGGCCAGCAGGCAGGTGACAACGTTGCCCCCTTCCAGCCCCGTGGTGGCCCCCATCAGCTGCCACCACCATGGTGACACCGGGGTCACCTCCCCCTTGGGGCTGGAGATGCTCAGATCTTGCCTGGGAAGATCCCTTCTTCACGGTACTCGTCCCAGGTTGTCACCTGTAGGGGGAACATCATGGGGACATCATGGGGACAGCATGGGGATACCATGGGGACATCATGGGGACATCATGGGGACACCATGGGGATACCATGGGGACATCATGGGGACATCATGGGGACATCATGGGGGCATCATGGGGACATCATGGGGACATCATGGGGACATCATGGGGACATCATGGGGGCATCATGGGGGACATCATGGGGGCATCATGGGGACATCATGGGGGACATCATGGGGGCATCATGGGGGCATCATGGGGGCATCATGGGGGACAGCATGAGGGACATCATAGGGGCATCATGGGGGCATCATGGGGGCATCATGGGGGGCATCATGGGGGGCATCATGGGGACATCATGGGGGGCATCATGGGGACATCATGGGGAACCCAAGGAATAGGGGTACCCTATGGGGAACCCATTGATGATGGGGACACCCTGGACACCCTGATAACCATGGGGACACCAAGAGGAACCCAAGGAGCATGGGGACACCAAAGGGACACCATGGGGAACCCACTGATCATGGGGACACCCTGGACACCCTGATGACCATGGGGACCCCAAGAAGAACACAACCACCTTTACCCCCCCCCAAGCCCCATAGACCCCCTTTGGTGCTCCCCACAACCCCCATAGGACCCTCCTATTACCCCCCCTTTTGAACCCCACTCACCCAAGAAATAGGGCACAGGGACTTGTAGACCCTATAGTACCATTGGCAAGGAGCAGCATCGGCCCCTTTGGCAGCCATGGCCTTCTGGCACCGATGGAAATCTGCATGGGAAGAGCAGGATCCATCAGGAACGATGCTCCCAGTGCTCCCAGTGCTCCCAGTCTACCCCACAGGGCCCTACCGACGTAGTTCTGCCAACAGTTCTTGGTCTGGTTCTGGTTGGGGAAGCGGCTGTCGAATGGAGCCGTCTTGTAACGCTTCAGCTTGGCCTGGATGTCCTCAGCCATGGCCTGGGGGGCAATTAACGGGTGTTAATTAACCCCCTCTTCATTAACGGCCCCCCCTTGGGGTCCTTAATAGATTAATAGGGGCATTAATCACCCTTAGGGGGTCATTGATGCCTTATGGGGGAGTTAAAGCAAGAATGGAAGCAGGATGATTAATGGGTGACTTAATCCACAATGGGGTAATTAAGACCCCCCTGGCCTTAATTAACACCTATTGTTGTTAATTAATACCCCCCATGGGTTAATTAATGGGCATTAGGAAGCATTAATCCCCCCCCCCAGTAGTGTTAATGCCCCAGTTTGTAATGAGGAAGGAAATAGTAATAGGAGAGGCTTAATAAGGGGTAATTAATGGGTTAATTAAGCCATAATGGACTAATTAATACCCACTAAGGTCAATTAATACCCTCCCTGGGCTAATTAATAACCCCCTTGGGTAATTAATGGCCATTAGGAGTAATTGCCCCCCCCACAGTGACAAACAATCGGCTAATAGAGAGTAATTAATAGGTTAATTAAGCCCATTAGCACTAATTAATACCCTCGGGGTTAATTAATACCCCGCAGTGCTCCCAGTAACGGCCCCATTGCTCCCAGTTCACCCCAGTGCCCCCCCCATTGCTCCCAATGGATCCCAGCGCCCCCCCCCATTGCTCCCAATGGCGCTCCCAATGGCGCTCCCAATGGATCCCAGCACCCCCCCCATTCCTCCCAATTGATCCCAGTGGATCCCAGCGCCCTCCCCACTGCTCCCAATGGCGCTCCCATTGATCCCAGTGGCTCCCAGTGGCTCCCAGTGGACCCCAGCTCCTCACCCGTCCCCGCTCAAAGTCACTTTCAGGCCGGAACCACCGAGACGCAGCGGAAGCGCAGAGCGCGGCCGGAAGTGACGCGACGCACGCTCCCCATAGGCTTCAATGGGGGGGGGGGGGGGGGGGGAACCATAGAGACGGCTGCGGGAGCGGCTCCATGGAGGAAGAGGGAGGACTGAGCGACGCCATTGGTGGGAGGACCCCGGAAGTGGACGGACGGGACCCGAAACAGCACGGAATTGACCCAAAACGGCACGGAATGGCGCCCAGAACACCCCAGCGTGGCTTTAAACAAGCTCTTCGTGCCCCAGAACGCCTCTTCAGGCCCCAAAATGGTCCCAGGAGGCTTCAGGACACCCGAAATATCCGTTTACGTCCTAAATCCCCCCCCGAGAAACCCCCAAATCCCCGGTTTTGTCCTCAAATTCCACCCCGAAGCCCCCGGTTTTGGCCCAGTCCCTCCCAGAAGCCCCCAAATCCCCGTTTTTATCCCCAAATCCTCCCCAGAACCGCCCAAAGCAACGTTTCTGACCCAAAGCACAGCAAAAATTCCCGTTTCTGTCCCCAGATACCATCAGAATCCCCCAAAATCCCCATTTCTGTCCCCAAATACCATCAAAACCCCGCAAGAAAACCTAAAATTCCCACTTTTATCCCCAAATCCCCCTCAGGACCCCATTTTTACGCCCATATTCTCTCAAATCCCCAATTTCTACCCCCAAACCCTTATTTCTCCCTAGGAATTCCCATTTCTGGCCTCAAATCCCCTCAGAAACCCCCAAATTCCGCCTTTTTCACCCCAAAACTCCTTCCCCCCCCCTCCGGTCACGTTGCGGCCGCGGGCGGGCACTAGGACCCAGCGGCGCGGGACGGCGCCCTTGACGTCGCAAAGGGGCGGGGTTTACGGGAGGGTGTTTCCGGTTCCGGTGTTGTCGGAGCGGCACGTGGGATGAGGCCAGGTACGGACTGGGGTAAACTGGGATAAACTGGGATCTAATGGGAAGGAATGGGGTGAGAATGGGATCTAATGGGAGGCAGTGGGATGGGAATGGGGTGTAATGGGAGGCAATGGGATGGGAATGGGATCTAATGGGAGGCAATGGGATGGGAATGGGATCTAATGGGGGGGAATGGGATGGGAATGGGAGCTAATGGGGGGAATGGGGTCTAATGGGAGGCAATGGGATGGGAGTAGGATAGGAATGGGGTATAATGGGATGGGAATGGGGTCTAATGGGAGAGAATGGGAGTTAATGGGGGGGAATGGAGTCTAATGGGAGGCAGTGGGATGGGAGTAGGATGGGAATGGGGTCTGATGGGATGGGAATGGGGTCTAATGGGAGGGAATGGGATGGGAATGGGGTGTGAATGGGACCTAATGGGGGTGAATGGGGTCTAATGGGAGGAAATGGGATGGGAATGGGGTCTAATGGGAGGGAAATGGATGTGATGGGAAGGAATGGGGTGGCAATGGGATCTAACAGGAGGCGATTGGGATGGGAATGGGATGGACTGGGGGGGACTGGGATTATGGGGGGGGGGGGTGCTTGAGCCAGACTGGGAATACCGGGAGCCTGCAGCCCCGTGCTCCCAGTGCTCCCAGTTTAACACCGGCTCCACAGGGTTCAGCCCCCGAGGGGGGGGACGCGGCGGCTTCCGGGGGGGCCGAGGTAAGTGGGGACCTTCCCAGTGCTCCCAGTATGGAGCTGGGAGAGCCCCTGACCCTCCCAGTCCATCCCAATCCCCTCCCAGTCTATCCCAGTCCATCCCAATCCCATCCCAGTCTATCCCAGTCCATCCCAATCCCCTCCCAGTCTATCCCAGTCCATCCCAATTCCCACCAGTCTATCCCAGTCCATCCCAACCACATCCCAGTATATCCCAATATCACCCCAGTCCATCCCAATCCCCCCCAGTCTATCCCAGTCCATCCCAACCCCATCCCAGTCTACCCCAGTCCATCCCAATCCCCTCCCAGTCTATCCCAGTCCATCCCAATTCCCCCCAGTCTATCCCAGTCCATCCCAATCACATCCCAGTCTATCCCAGTCCATCCCAATCCGTTGCCAGTCCATCCCAATCCCCTCCCAGTCCATCCCATTGGATCCCATTGCTCTCTGCAGGAGGCGGGTTCCAGCCCCGGGGCGGAGCCCGAGGGGGCGGGGCGGGCCCCAGGGGGCGTGGCCGGGGCGGTGCAAGGGGCGGGGCCAGAGGCGGGAGGGGCGGAGCCTCCCGCGGCGGCTTCCGGGGGGGCAAGAAAGTGACGGTGGAGCCGCATCGGCACCCAGGTAATGGGAATGGGATAGACTGGGATATAATGGGATGGGAATGGGATATAATGGGAATGGGAATGGGATGTACTGGGATGTAATGGGATGGGAATGGGAATGGGGATGGGATAGAGGATGGGAATGGGGATGGGATGGGAATGGGAGTGCGATAGGCTGGGGATGTACTGGGATATAATGGGATGGGGATGGGATGTAATGGGATAGAATGGGATGGGAATGGGATGGAGATGGGATGGGAATGGATGGAATGGGATAGAATGGGATGGGAATAGGATGTAATGGGATGGGATGGGATAGACTGGGATATAATGGGATGTAATGGGGTAGAATGGGATGGGAATGGGATACAATGGGATGGGATAGACTGGGATATAATGGGGTGGCAATGGTATGTAATGGGATGGTGTTGGGATGGGGTGGGATGGAATGGGAATGGGATAGCCTGGGATGTAATGGGATGGGATGAGATGGAATGGGATATAATGGGATGGGACGGGAATGGGATAGACTGAGATGTATTGGGATGGAATAGGATGGGAATGGGATGTACTGGGATATAATGGGATGGAATGGGAATGGGATAGACTGAGGTTTAATGGGATAGACTGAGATGCAATGGGATGGGGTGGGAATGGGATGTAATGGGATAGACTGGGATATAATGGCATGGGATGGGAATGGGACAGACTGGGATATAATGGGGTAGGATGGGGTTGGGATTGACTGGGAGGGGACTGGGATGGACTGGGGGTCACTGGGGGTCCCTGTCCCCCCCTCCAGGGGTGTTCATCTGCCGGGGCCGGGAGGATGCTCTGGTCACCCGCAACCTGGTGCCGGGAGAGTCGGTCTATGGGGAGAAGAGGATCTCAGTGGAGGTACTGGGATGGACTGGGAGGGCACTGGGGTAGACTGGGAGGGCACTGGGATAGACTGGGATGGACTGGGGTAGAGTAGGATGGACTGGGAGGGCACTGGAATAGACTGAGATAGACTGGGATGGCACTGGGATAGACTGGGAGGGCACTGGGATAGACTGGGATTGACTGGGAGGGCACTGGGATAGACTGGGAGGGCACTGGGATAGACTGGGAGGGCACTGGGATAGACTGGGATAGGAGTTGGATCATCTGGGAGGCGCTGGGAGAGGTGGAGCTCCACCCCGGTAGCACTGGTTGCACCGGGCAGTGTCACTGGTTGCACTGGGAAGCACTGGGAGCACCGGGCGGTGTCACTGGTTGCACTGGGAAGCACTGGGAGCACTGGGCGGTGTCACTGGTTGCACTGGGAAGCACTGGTCCCCGGGCGGTGTCACTGGGAGCACTGGGCGGTGTCACTGGTTGCACTGGGAAGCACTGGTCCCCGGGCGGTGTCACTGGGAGCACCGGGTGGTGTCACTGGTTGCACTGGGAAGCACTGGGCGGTGTCACTGGTTGCACTGGGAAGCACTGGGAGGTGTCACTGGTTGCACTGGGAAGCACTGGGAGCACTGGGTAGTGTCACTGGTTGCACTGGGAAGCACTGGGCGGTGTCACTGGTTGCACTGGGAAGCACTGGTTCCCGGGTGGTGTCACTGGGAGCACTGGGCAGTGTCACTGGTTGCACTGGTTGCACTGGGCGGTGTCACTGGTTGCACTGGGAAGCACTGGGCGGTGTCACTGGTTGCACTGGGCAGTGTCACTGGTTGCACTGGGAAGCACTGGTCCCCCTAGCCCATCCCAGTACCATATCCCCACCCCAGGACGGGGAGGAGAAGGTGGAGTACCGGGCCTGGAACCCGTTCCGCTCCAAGCTGGCCGCTGCCATCCTGGGGGGCATCGACCGCATCCACATCCAGCCCGGAGCCAAGGTCCTGTACCTGGGGGCGGCCTCGGGGACCACCGTGTCCCACGTGTCCGACATCGTGGGGCCGGTGAGCACCGGGATTGGTCCAGGGGGATGCGCGGGGTACCGGGATTGGTCCAGGGGGATGCGGGGGGCACCGGGATTGGTCCAGGGGGATGCGGGGCTCTGGGATTGGTCCAGGGGGATGCGGGGCTCTGGGATTGGTCCAGGGGGATGCGGGGCCTGGGATTGGTCCAGAGGGATGCGTGGGATTGGTCCAGGGGGATGCGGGGCTCCGGGATTGGTCCAGGGGGATGCGGGGCTCCGGGATTGGTTCAGGGGGATGCGGGGGGTACCGGGATTGGTCCAGGGGGATGCAGGGGGTACCATGGCCATAGGGATGCTGGGGGTAGCGGGGTTGGTCCAGGGGGATGCGGGGCTCTGGGATTGGTCCAGAGGGATGCGGGGCTCTGGGATTGGTCCAGGGGGATGCGGGGCTCTGGGATTGGTCCAGAGGGATGCGGGCCGGGATTGGTCAGGGGATGCGCGGGGCTCGGGATTGGTCAGGGGGATGCGGGGGGTACCGGGATTGGTCCAGGGGACGGGGCTCGGGATTGGTCAGAGGGATGCGGGGGACGGGTTGCCAGGGGGATGCGGGGGGTTGGTGGGGGTGGGGGGGTTGGTGGGGTGGGGGGGTTGGTGGGGTGGGGGGGGTTGGTGGGGTGGGGGGGGTGGGGGTTGGTCAGGGGGATGCGGGGCTCCGGGATTGGTCCAGGGGGATGCGGGGGGCTCTGGGATTGGTCCAGAGGGATGCGGGGCTCTGGGATTGGTCCAGGGGGATGCGGGGCTCTGGGATTGGTCCAGGGGGATGCGGGGGGCACCGGGATTGGTCCAGGGGGATGCGGGGGGTACCGGGATTGGTCCAGAGGGATGCGGGGCTCCGGGATTGGTCCAGAGGGATGCGGGGCTCCGGGATTGGTCCAGAGGGATGC